TTTTATGGAAGAGAAGAGAAGACTCGGCTACTGACTTAGCTAAAACAGGCACCAAGTTCAGTAGCTACTTGGAGAGGGTCAGAGATGAAGCTATTGCGGACAGGGAGGATGGGGGCTGGATAAGGAGAAGGTTTTTCCGAGTTAATGGATGAGCAGACTGCAGAGACTGGTGTAGATGATTTTATGGAGGATTCATAATTTTGCTAGAATTACAAATTGTATGGTGAAGATGGGCTCATCTCTTTTAAACCACATGATGCAAAGGAAAATGAAATTAACAAAATATATATATATTTTTTTTTTTGTGAAATGTCTTAGCCAAAGGGAGTCAATTAGTAGACCTTGTGACTTTACCTAATTTCACCTTTCCTTGAATTGTCGGGAAAAACATATTTTTTTACCATTGCTGTGAATATTGGTGGTGTTATTTTTATTATAAATATTATAATTACTATAATGGTATAAACATTAGTAACAGCAAAATAAGATAATGTAAATGGGCGAGACAGGCAGTACTCTTAATTGGCTCATTGGTGACTTTGTACAAGTATAGCCATCTATGTGTAAAACAGAAAAGTATTGGGTAAATGTCATGAGGGCTGTTAACTGACTGGGGGGTGCCTCTCTTGCACCACAGCTAATCCAAGCTGCACACTTCAACAGAAGCACTCTAGTATATTCTAGGTTCCACCATGAATAATATTTGAAAGTGTAAAATTGGGAGGTGCGAGGGATGTTTGTATAGGCTGTATTTAGGATAATGGCTGTAAAGTATTGAAGAATGTCTGAAGTGGAAGAGAAAGATGATGGGGGAATATCAAGAGTGGAGAGAGAGATAAGGTATGCCAGTCAATTCTGTCAAAGAACGGGGATAAAAAGAGTACTCAAAAGATTTGGAAAGGTTAAAATAGTTGAAGAACAAGAACAGGAGGAAGAAGGAGCAGTGCTGAGTGAGGTAGTGCTATAGAGGGAAGGACAATAAGGATCCTGAGTAGTAATAAGAAAGAAGGGTTGTTGAAAATGAAGTTGTAATCAGTGGAGAGCCAGGGTTCAAGGAACTGGAAAAATCAATGTCATTTTGTCAGGATGCCCCTAAAAAAGGTGCAATGTTCATAGTTCTGCAGTGTCAGAGAAGGGTAAGGGTTCTGAGGATTCCTTTCCAGTCAAATAGGAGAATGATTTTGGAAAATGTCCACATAATAAAAATTAAAAAAAAATGTACTTAATCCATACCCTCAACAAATATTAATAGTATACCCCTCATTTCTGAAGGAGAATAAATAAGACACAATTTTTTGCATACATTTATTTTCTTTTTAAAGTTATTACAAATCAATATAATCATCAACACTTTAATACAAACTTTTAATTAAGTAAATTCATCTTTGGTCTGATGAACTGACACAGATCTCTGATCCTCTTTATAATGAAACTGACAACTCCAAAAACTTCCTAGTTTTTGTATCTGTTGAAATCTTAATAAGGGACCAGGAAGCTGAAGAGATTATCAAATAACCATGGAACTATAAACATGACATTAATATATGAACCAAGTCAGTAATCAATTCCATAAACCATAGATATTTTTGTTGTATTAGATAAACATCCAAAAACTGGAAATTTCAAAGTTCATAGAGAACCATTTCTTCTGCTGATGTAATGACAGTCCAAAACAATGAGGGACAGCTACATGAAATGACAATGCGGCCAGGTCACTTTGAGATAAATAAATATATCAGCACATTATAAACATTACTTTTATGTATTACAGAATGTTTTGTCTTAGGATGTGGATTACACAATATATATAGAAAATTTATCTAACAGATTCTAAGCTCTTTATCAAAAGTATTAACCATATTGAATAAGAATTCCTTTATTGAAAAGCAAAAGCTGGGAAGCAAAAATTATCAGTAGAAAGAACTTCAACACAAAGTAAATTGTAATAGTTTCAGTCTGAATCGAATATCAGTTTCAAGCTGCAAATAGTTGACATTAAAAGTTGTCTCATAAATTGCTTATTTACACTACTTACATTCCATCCCCTCTGAATGCAGGCATCCAACAAGAAAATTAGAACACCCCAGTAAAATTACCAAAACAGGAAACAAAAAAGAAGGCAGTTCCTATACACTGTAATAAGAACCACTTAGATAAAAAGTATAACTGTTTGATTCCACACACCATAAAGACCACTGATATGCAGATGGCCAAGCATAAGTTCACACTGTGTTATAGTGGAAAACATTCTAAACACAGTAGTAGTTGCACCACCAACAGAAAGCTGTACATGAAAAGTTTTGTACATAAATGTTAAAAGTTACTTGTACAGTGCTGATGTATCATCATGGCACTAGAATTTGATTACCTTACTAAATACTTCTTACAGTGCTACAATAAAATATTTTAAAGTCTTCTAAGACCTTTTTGGTGCTTTTATACAAATAAATAAACAAAATAAAAGAAAAGTAAGTATTACCCAATTATTTTCTTTAAAAAG